GAAATATCAGCCAAGTCAATAATGTCACATGGACATAACAACAATAGAAACTGTGGGAGTTGATCACTTAGATAAGAACTGATTTCTTCTGCTTTGCTACTTGATTGCACGTAGACATAAAATTCCGATTTATTTGAACTATGCCAAAGTCTGGTTAAAGCTAAAGGTACATTCATGTCTCATCTCATTATGAAATTCTCTCTTCATTGTATCAGGAAAGTAAGCATGAGTTGGAAGAATATTTCTTAACTCTAGAATCACAAAAATGTTAGGATGAAGGCTATGTTTAATGAAGGTCAGAAGGTAATGAAAACACAGATGTAAGAATTTTTTAATGGAATAGCAAAATAAAAATATGGGCTTTGAAATCAGGCAATATTCCCACTAAGCCATTTAATTATTATGTGATATCTGAAAATTTGCTCAATCTCTAAGTTTCATAGTCTGGAATATGATTGACAGTATTTCTCATGGGGCTGGTGCTGTGGCGTAGAGGGTAAAGCCACCGTCTGCAGTGCCAGCATCTAATATAGGCTCTGGTTCAAGTCCCAGCTGCTCTACTTCCAATCCAGCTCTCTGCAATAAAGCTGGAGAAAAACCAGCTTGAGTAATATTTTCTTTTTTTTTTTAAAGATTCAGTTGCACAAGGTCAACCATACTCAGAAAATACTAAATGGAATATATGTTGTGATAACACAAGGTAAAGAAGAGTTTATGATAAAAAGGGATTTATCAACCATTCTGTACCAAGAGGCAGACTTTTTCAATTGTTTCTGTTTTTAATTCCTCTAGTGATCTTTCTCTAACTAAATAATCTATCTTATTAACTGAATTCATAAACTTTAGATAAACATGTTTAGGTAACATCTATTAACTCCCCAGTTTGAAGATAAATATTCAGTTCAATAAGCCTGATTGTTGTGCTTCCCTTGACAAGAGCAATGCTTGATATTTACATTATTGTCTTACCTTTACTATTACAACCTCTTAGCTTTTACTATTATAACCAAAAATGATCATTTAAAGCCTTCATCCTATTCCATCACTTTTTATGTAAATACTTAATACCATTTTGTCTTCTGCTTTTAAGATTCATCTTAACACTTTTTTTGGACCATCAAAATTTTTAATATTTATCTCCTACAACTACTATCAGTTCTTTGTGATTTTGAGCATAGTTTGAACACTTAAGGTGAGAAAATTGTAATGCTTAAATCAAGAGCTTTTATATTATAATGAATAAATACATATGGTTCAACACTGGACTAAATGGGAAGTTCATTCTGTAGGAATCTAATGTCAAGGTAACTTGTGCCACCTAAATGAAAACATCTATGCAAACTTATTCAGAATCACTCTCTCTCTCTCTCTCTCTCTCTCTCCTTCCCTCCCCCCATCAGTTGTTTAAATCCATTCCTGAATGGGAGAAAGAAAGGTTGGAGTATGGGTGGGAGGGTGATAGGGTGGGGAGAATCACTATGTTACTAAATTTGTATGTATGAAATGCTTGAAGTTTGTATTCCTTAAATATTTTTATTTTTTTAAATATTTTTAAATAAACCTTCCTGTTTAGACCATGGCCGCCTTGCACAGTAATCACAGTAGTGTTGTTTTTCAGAATTCCTCATTACTTTTATTTTCATCTTGCTTTTTCGTTAAGTGACCCCTCCTCCTATTTACCATCCTTATTTCACCCTGAGCTACAATGATTAGAGCTCCTTGCACTCTTGCTCCAGTGAGGACTGATAACTTTTTACACTCGTTGATAAGTTACTTACTGATAAGTTATTTTACACTTGGAAGTCTCAGGACTTTCCTTCATTGTTATTCTATGCCGAATCCAGAGTTACTGGATAGGGTCGGAGGCGAGGAGGGAGACAGTGATCTTCTATTCACAGGCTGACTCCCCATGTGGCTGCCAACAGCAAGGGCTGGAGTAGACCAAAGCCTGGAACCAAGAGCTTTTGAGTCTCCCAAGTAGGTGCAGGGCGCCCAAGCACTTGGGCATCTTCTGCTGCTTCCGCAGGAGTATTAGAATGGAGCTGGACTGGAAGTGAAGCAGCCGGGACCCCAACCGGGACCCATATGCGATGCTGGCATCCCCTGCTGCAGTCTTGCCCACTACACCACAATGGGCCCCGAATCCATCGTTTTATTTGGTCCTGCGTTTTACTTACTTGTTCTTATTTCTATATAGATAAAAGAGTGTGCCTTAAAGAAACTTTCAAAGAAGTGCATTATGAAATATAATTGAATTCTTTCATGTATAAACATTTTGATTTATCATCTGGGTGCATTGATATTCAATGATGTTTCAAGAACTAGGTGAAGTCGTTTTGCTGAAAAATATTAAAGACAATACCCTCTTATTGTATTCTAGCATGCAGTACCACTAATTAAAGTCTAATAAAAGTTTAACTTTCATTACTTTATTTTTTATAGTTATTTTCTTTCATCCCTTGGGAAGCATTTAGTATCTGTGTTTTGAAAAGCACAAGGATACAATGAAGTTGGAGATTTAAAAAAAAATTATTTACATAAATAGGTATTCACCAATTCTGTTGGTTCAATTATCTGTTTATTCAGCCCTTATTGTTTGATCATTTTTTGTATTTTTTGCTATTGCTACTTTTAATGAATCCTATTGACATCATGTTAGATGTCTTGGATTGAAGCTCTATAGTATTTTACATTATCTCTTATTATGTTCCACTATCTCATAATTTTTTCTTTATTTTGCTTCTATTTGTTTTGCTGTCACTATATATTACTTTTATATTTTGGATAATCTATTGATTTCCACATTTTTAATTACATTTTTAAACTTTAGGAGTGATTTCTTGCTTGCATTTCCCCCTCCTCATCATACCAGTTCCAATTTTATGAGTAAAATATTCTTAAATCCCTGAGCGTAAATTAATTAGAGTCTTAAATTCTATTTTTTCTTGAATTATATGGTTTTTCCTCTAAAAATACTCTAATTTCTATTTAAAATTTTTTTGCTAATTTTATATAGTGCTGGATCATCTCATAAACATAGTGATTCCTGATGCTCTGTTCACATTTATTTGTGCGATTTTCATTATTGTTAGTTTTAAGGCTTGCTTCCAGCAACATTGATCCCCTTAGACTTAGGTTTTATATGCTTCTAAGTGATACATTTTCCAAAAGAGCAGTTCATTACTTAAGGAAATGAGAGAAGGTTTATCAACTGAAAGTACAAAGAGAAAAATTAATACTATGTTTAATTCATAGTATGTTTATTCCTATTTTTCCAACATTAGAACACTGTGTTTTGAAAGAATATGGAAAATACCAACATACCTGAAAGTGTTCTTTAGATTTGTAGCTCTGCTGACTTATCTATATATATCTATATATATATATATATATATAATATGGAAGATATAAAATAGTCAAAAGTGTTAAGAACAATATTAAATTATTAATTTTATGGCCCACATATATCTAATTTAGTAGAGTGAAGCACTTTAGTTGACAGACCACTTATGGAAAATCACATTGAAAAAAGTTGGGAAAATAAGTTGCTCTTTTCAGACCAACAGTATATTTTTTTCCTTCTTTTATTGTGGTAGGAAATTAAGCCTCAAGTCTAATCTCTTAACACTTTTCAGTATACAGTACAGTAGTATTAAGTATAATACAGGGGCCAGTGCTGTGGCACAGTAGATTAATCCACGCCTATTGTGCTTGCATCTCATATGGGCACCGGTTCTAGTCCTAGCTGCTCCACTTCCAATCCAGCTCTCTGCTGATGGTCTGGGAAAGCAGTGAATCTGACCCGAGTGCTTGGGCCCCTTGTGAGAGACCTGGAGGAAGCTCCTGGCTCCTGGCTTCAGATCTGCCCAGTTCCAGCTGTTGCAGCCATTATGGAGTGAACCAGTGGATGGAAGACCTGTCCCTCTCCCTCTCCCTCTCACTGCCTGTAACTCTACCTGTCAAATAAATAGATATATTTTTTTAAAAAGTGTTATACAAAATTGCACAGCAGATCTCTAGATAATTTTCATCTTGCATAAGTGAAATTTTATACTCATTGAATATCAACTTCTCGTTTCTAACTCCAAGCTCTCCATTGCATGTATCTGTGAATTTGTCTACTTTATATGCTTCAAATGAGAGGAATATGCCATTTTTGTCTTTTTGTGATTGAATTACTTCACCTATAATGATGTTCACCATATTTATCAATGTTGACACATATTGCAGGATTTTATCTTTTAAGGCTGATTAGCATTCCATTGTATGTATAAGTGTGTTTATACCACATTTTCTTTATCCATACTTCTACTGATAGACAGTACAGAGGTTCTTCCACATCTTAGCTAATGTGAATAACACTACAACAGACATGGGAATCCAAATATCTCTTCAAAGTCATAATTTCAATTCTTTTGGATAAATCCTCAGAATAAGGATCTCTGTGTCATGTAGTAACTTAATTTTTAAGTTTCTGAGCAACTTCCATAGTATTTTCCACAGTGTCTGCATCATTTTACATTACCACCAACAGGGCATGAGAGTTTCACTTTGTCCATGTCTTTGTCAACACTTCTCACTCTTTCATTCTACTAGCCATTCTATCAGGTATAATGATGTTTCACTGAGTTTTAAATTTGCTTTTCCCTGATAACTAGTCAAGTGAATATATTTTCCTATGCCTGTAGGCCATTTATATTTACTCTTTGGATAGATTTCTATTCAAGTCCTTTACTCTTTTTTATTATTTATTTTTAAAGATTTATTTATTTATTTAAAAATAACAATCATATCCCAAAGTGTCCATTTCATTCCTTTGCACAATTAAGTTTTGTTTTGTTTTGTTTTGTTTTGTTTTTGACAGGCAGAGTGGATAGTGAAAGAGAGAGACAGAGAGAAAGGTCTTCCTTTGCCATTGGTTCACCCTCCAATGGCCGCTGCAGCCGGCGCGCTGTGGCTGGCGCACCACACTGATCCAATGGCAGGAGCCAGGTACTTACCTTGGTCTCCTATGGGATGCAGGGCCCAAGCACTTGGGCCGTCCTCCACTGCACTCCCTGGCCACAGCAGAGAGCTGGCCTGGAAGAGGGGCAACCGGGAAAGAATCCGGCACCCCGACAGGAACTAGAACCCAGTGTGCCGGCGTGGCAAGGTGGAGGATTAGCCTAGTGAGCCGCGGTGCCGGCCCACAATTAAGTTTTATAAGGACCCCCTCCCCACTGAGAAAGCAATCCACACAATGACTCCCAATCATAAAGAAACTATGATCTCATTCTAGATTGTTCAGAAGGATTCACTGTTCTGAATTCCTTCCCTCTGTACTCCTTTGTTTCATACAAAATGGAGAAAGGTAGAACAGACTGAAATACAGCATTTGAGCACAACAACTAATATAAACCTAGAACATTCACAGCCTGTTCACTGATAGAACAGTGGGAAAAAAAGGAGACATAAGTGTTGTACCAACTGCAGAGTGCAAGGCATTAATAGTTTAGAAATGATAACCAATGCTCCTAGTTTAAGTTCTTCAATAACATAAAATCTCAAATTATTAGAAGAAAAAATCATTTAACAGATAACTTAATTTTTTAGATGTCACTCATGTTTTCTTTTGTGAGATTGTTCAAATTTTTACTTTGTTTTTGAGATGAAATTTTTTATATTATAATCAAAGCCTTAATGGCTCTACTAAATAAAGAGATCAACAGATAAAAAGAAAACAGACCATAGTCCAGCATGAAAATAAACAAGGGCTATAACAATAATCAATGAAATAATTTTCAACTTCACTTACAGAAATTTTAAAGCCATCACAAAATCTTTAAGACTATAGTAGTAGTATAGTTCCTTTCAATTTGTTTGACAAAGATTTAAAATAAAAGTTTCACCCAACACTGTATTTGCAGCAAAACTAAAATACATGGGCAATTCTTTTTTATTTATTCTATTTAATTTTAGTGCCCACTATTAAAAGAGCCACTTTTTTGAAGATGTTATACTTTTCTCACTGTTAGTATAAGCATCCTGTTGATGCTGTTGTATATGCAAGAATGTATTTGGGCTTTATATTCAAATCCATCTGTTTGTTTGCCAGTATCAAACTGTGTTGTCTACTGCAACTTTGTAATGCATATTGAAATCCATAAGTGTGATGCCTTCAGTTTTATTCTTCTTTCTCAAAACTGTTTTATCTGTTAGGAGTCTTTTATGGTTCTACATAAATTAAAGGTTTTTAACTATCTCTGTAAAAAATGACATTGAAATTTTGATATGGATGGTGTTACACCTGAATACTTTGGAAACCATAGACAATTTACCAAAATATTAAATATTCCAGTCTATGAACACTGGTTGTCTTTCTGATTATTTGTATCTTCTTTATTTAATCAATATTTTATTGTCTTTTTTATGTCTTTTATTTGTGAAGGATGTTTTTTCCAAATACAATAAAATATTCTTGACTTCTTGACTCCTCTCTCTCTCTCTCTCTCTCTCTCTTTAAATTTGAACAGTGTCTTCTGTCCTGCAAGGGTTCTGTTCAAAACTTCAATCAGTTTTGAAAAGTATTCTTGTATGTGACAAGTCATGTTTTCTTTTCTACTGCTTTCAGAACTTTTTAGTTGATCTTAACTTTTGAAAACTTTGTTAATTGTGTCTCTGTATGGAATTCTTTAAGTTTATCCTACTTTGAAACTTTTTGGATTCCTGAATCAGGATGCTTGTTTATTTCCTCACATTGGAAAGATATGGGCCATTATTTTTTTTAAGTAAGCATTGAATCTTTCTTTTTAACTTCTCCTTCTGAAACTTCTATGATGTGTACACTGGTCAGCTTGATGATGTCCCATAATTCTCTCAAGCTTTATTCATTATTGTTGCTTCTCTGATTTTCTATTTTTAATTACGTGTATTCAAGTCTATTGATTTTTTTTTCTTCTGCTTGATCAAGTCTGATATTGAACCTTCATAGTGATTTTTTGAGTTCCATTATTTTATTCAGCTTTTTAGTATTTCTGTGTTTGCTTTATTCTGTCCATCTCTTTGTTGATATTTTACTCATGCATTGTTTTCTGTAGCTGATTGAGGGTCTTTATGATGGTTATTATTTAGAATTCTCTGCCAGGTGTTTCATGTACCTTCTTACTTATAGCTGAATTTCATGAATTGATTGTGTTCCTTCATTTGGATCAGGTTTCTCTTTCTAGGTCAACCTTGACCATTTACATTGGTGTCTGCGCATTTGGAGAATCAGCCATCTATCTTAGGCTTCATGGAATGACTTTATATGGGAGAGATTTTCACCAGTAATCTAGACAGAGGTGTTATAGCACCTCAAATAGTTTCTGTGGTTATGTCCTACCTGGACTTGTATGCATAAATTCCTAACCAGAGGTATTTGCTTATTTCTTTTTCAGGGAGGTATAATCGTAGCCCTTCTGTTGTCTGTAATTTGTAACTTGGGTCTTCTAGTACAGCTGAACAATGTCCACATATTTTATTTTGTCATTTTTGTTGTCTCGATGGCACCCAAGTATCTATAATAAATCAATCCCTCAGGAAGGATCCCCATAATTCTGAACATTCAATGTTTATTTCAGTCTTTTCTTTCCCTTCCCAAGGAGAACCTATTATCTATACAAACTGGGGTCACTACCAGTTGTACAATGCTAAGCTGAAGAGAGGGATTCAGGTAGGGGAAGATATAATGGTCCAATTCCCATTCTCAGTGGCCCTTTGACATCTAAGGTGTGTTGCATACTATCAGTGTGTCATGATAGGTGAGAAAGAAACAACTCCCTTGGAAGAATCCCTCAAAACTGAAATATGGAAGCCAAGCTCCATTTCTTTACCTCCCGCCCAAGGGGAGAAGCCTCAAATGACACCTACTCTTAATCACAAAAAGTTGTGCTGACCCCGGCGAACTGGCCTTCACTTTGCTTTGTTCTTAGCATGTCCCCTGACATCCAAATTTTTCTCTTTCCGTTTATGCTCTGAGTGAGACTGGAACATTGGACAGTACTCCATTGCCACCCCCATTCCCCCCTCCCAATACACACACACAAAACACACTCAGAGAGAAGTTAAGAGCTGTGCTTAATACCTCAGTACTTAGCTAAGCCGACTTAGTGGAGGAGCTGATGAAGATGAAATAGAATTAGTATCCTTCTTACATTTGAATGCAGTTCAGAGATTTTTGTTTTCCTTGGTTACTCGATTCCTTGGATTCTGGAATTCTCATAAAAACATTTGGGCTAGACATTATAAAATGTGTGTTTCTTTGGGGGAGTGAGGCCTTTCTATTCCAACATCTTGCTGATATCACCCCATCCATAATATTTTATAAATTCTTCTATTATTGTCCTCATACTTCTGTGCTGGTTTTTGATTTAATTATTTACACTCCTATTTCCTGAATCATGAACATGTTAATCCACTGTCTTGCTCACTTGAATCACTCACATTTTTGAATCACTTTGAGTCACTAATGCTCAGATACTGATGGCAATGTGACAACTATTCATTGTTTGCCTAAACTGGTGAATGAATGAATTAGAACTGGAGTTTAACATTTAATTACTCCTCGGCTTTGGACAAAGCATTTCATATATGACCATACCTGTGTGTTATTTCATGAAAATAAGAGACAATATGTATCCATTTTTACTCATTCTCATACATTTCATAAAATCCAGCTACTGCAAAATATCCTCGTGTTTTAAAAGAAACCTTTTGTACTTAATTTGCATAATTGTTACAGTTTTCATCTTTATCATCATCTTGTCACCACCATCATCAATATCATTATTTCTATTTGTTCAACTCAATTATTTAAGAGTAATTTTTATGTTTCCTTGATAGATGCTATTTTCTAAACTTTAATCCCTCATTAAGAAGGAAATGCTTATTAGAATTTCTGAAGAAAATTTGTTTAAAGTAATATAATATTGCCCTTTGTATTCAAAGAAACCCAAAAAGATTTAATGAAAATACTACATTCAAATGATTTACAAAGCTATCTGTTAAAATAGAAAGAAAAAAATCTATTGTTTTTTCCTACTCAAAATATTTTCACAAAAATTCATACAATTTAATGATAATAACTACATACAATTAATATATTTGATATTATTTTAACCTAAGTGATAAAAAATTGAAAGTGTGGAAGGTTGAGTAATCTTTTCAAAGTCAGTTAATTGATGACATAAGTGCTAACATGATTCAGATCAGAAATCCAGTAATTTATCATTATTTTGTTATATGATGTTAATATATACATACTAATTCCAGCTTCATCTCCACTTTTGCTATTATTGTCTTTAACATTAAATTTGCATCTTTAAAATTATAAGAAAGGCAGAATGTAGAGAAAATCAAATGCAGTTGGCATCTTTCAACTTATCTGCCAGCTGTTCTTCCTCCTAATTTATAAAATGGTGTTAACTGGAGCCCCAAATAATGAGGCTTTAATGACAGAACAGAATTGCTAATGATTTTCCTCAGCCAATTTTTATTCCTTGGCCAATAAACTAATTATTGAAGTGAACTTAGTTATATTTTTCCCAGTTTACTTTTAGACAATAATCAAAGAAGCAGGAAGAAACATGATAGTGTCTAGGGACAGTTATTTCAACTATTTTGCTTTCAGCTTGAAAGACACAAAAACAGGCAAAGTGGTAGGAAATGGGTATTACTTTCCATAGAGAGAGCATTGTTTGACTCATCTGACCAAAGAGCAGTCATTTATGTGGGATCATTGTCTCTACCAAAATCATTAAAGAAAATAACCACTTCCAGACCAGATGGAGATTTTAGAGTTGGACCTAAATTCACATTGGCCACATGTGAATCCCACACTATACGTGTAAACCTGATCTGATTAACCATTTTGAAAATTGCTTTTGCAGTGAAATTTCTCACACAAGAAAGTTAGATGGCTTTTATAGTGTCCTGAAGCTTTGACTGTAGGTGTAGAAACTTGAGCATTGTGTTAGACAACAGAATCTAACCAGCTGTATCTCTTCATTTAAAACCATAATAAATACTATTTTTGAAGGACTTATACATTGTAGGAAGTGCTGGATATTTTGAATATATTGTATCAGATTCTAGCAATGATCACAGAGGTTCTGATAAGGAGGCCCTGACTCCTGTAACTAGCAATAACAACGTTGACAATGAAAATAATTGTTATTTGCTGGAAATGTAAAGAGTAGCTATCTATT